AAAAAAAAAAAAAAAAAAAAAAAAAAAATTGCAAATGTTTATTGGACCCCTCCATCTTGATCATATGTAAAAATTTGAAGCCAAACCAGTTCTTAAATGCCACATGCAACTCCTAGATTCTAAAGGCTTTGAGTTCTAGTTATAACCTTTGAAGTGTATAGAGTGGAACTCATTCAGTTTGATTCAGTTCTTACCTCTGTCAGGGGAATACTGTTCCTATTCATCCTATGTTCTAAGATCTCCCCCACTGAATACCACTGATTCCTTTTATTAGCAAAGTGATCTCTGTCTCTGCTCTAAAATGGAGGGAGTAAGGAGCACAACTGTTCCTCTCAAGCATCCTTTACCCCATACCTCACTTCTGGTATGGTTTATTACCACAAAAGAAAAAAGCAAAAAACTATGTGTTGTTGGGGGGAGACACTACTCCTACTTACCTTGCTCAGAAGGCCTTTTCTGGTGGGATTTATTAAGGAGGCCCTGGTGTCCTACAGAAACCATCATGTATGTCGCAGCAGCATTTCACCCCCAAAGTCACTAAACTCTGAGCCTGAAAGGATTTGTATTTAATACACATACATCTTTTAGTTAATTCTGCCTTTCCTGTTCATTCCAGTTTTTGCTTGGTTTTATGTTTGGAGGGGACATAAGTACATAGGTCCATATCTCTCCCCATCCCCTAGTCTCGTGAAACAGAGTTGAGAGTCTTCAGTACCTTAGATCTAGAAGCTCTCCAGAATTGAGCTATACTCCCCAACATTAGACCGGTACCCTCAAACGAAGCTTAATTGGAAATTTGGCTTTATGGAGAAAATAATCTTTTTCAAAGTTTGTAAAGATTGTGTCAGAAGGGGAGGGTAAGGTCTGCACATTGCCTCTGCAGGAAGGCTCCGGTTTAGGAAGTAGATTCCAGCTGCGCAATGAGGAACACATTAGCTTTTCGGATCAAACCAGGACTATGAATCTGTAATTATTAAGCTCATTGCCAACCCACAACATATTTGATGTTTCTGAAAACCTGTAGTTTCTTCATCTAAGTCCATCCCTTCATTAACTCTACAGTTGTGACTCACACTGATCCCAAACTTTCGAGTGCTAAATATTAACATTTAGCATTAACTGTCTTGTCAAGCAAAAGGCTTCTACAACCTAGTCCATCTCACTTCTGGTGCTACCTGAGTTTGACAGAATTCTAGCTCATGGTTGCTAGGAAAGCTAGGCCTCTGGTCATAGAAGCAGATAGCTTCAGTCCCAGTCTAGGCCTAGATAAAAGAAATGACTCTTATCACAACGCTTATTATTTTCCAATCTCCTTTCTCACATACTGTACACAGGTAGTAGTTTCAATGTGAATCCAAAGCTTGTCTGGTTCTCTGAAAAAAAATTTTTTCCCCTTTAGGTTATTTACATTGTGATAATGCTGTATTTAAAGAGAATATTTAAATGTAATATTAAAGAAATAATCAAAAGAATGGTGTGTTACTCTGTCTTGGCAGGCCACAATTCAGTTACTTGTTAGAAAAAGGATGCTTCTCCAGCTTCGTTATAAAACTAATTAGGTCAGTTAGGAATTAATGTTAACAATAGAAACATTTTGTGATGGAAAAATAGAATATTCTCTTTGGAGCACCAAGAGGTGGACTCACTTCATCTGCCCTTGTATACCTGTTCAGCTGAAGCAGGTCTTGCTCCTGCGTTGTTGGAGCTTTGCCCTATCCTACTCTGGGCTCCCATTTTCTCATTCCATTAATTTTAGGAAATTCTTTTTTCCTTCTTATCACCTTAAAGTGTCCAGCAAGAAGATCAACTTCAAATCAGTTCCTGCAAAATTTCCATCAGAAGGTTATATTCCAACCAATTAAATCCCCATTTGTTAGGTTATGTCAGTCTTGTAAAAGGAGACTCAGCAAAGTGATTAGAGTATGCATATGTCATTTCCATCGACAGGTTTCAAGCAGTCTTTACTTGGGTTTAAAAACAGTGCTTCATGCATTTACAATAAGTTATTACAGAACTATAAGCCACTGATGCACACACAAAAGCTAAACCTAACTTACTAACTTGATGCACACCTCTCCTGATCTCCTCAGGCTGGGCAGTAGTACATTACAGGTTTGATTCATGGCCCAAAGAAGGCAGCCACTGTCAGTTACAGTTGGATTGCTGTATCACAGTGGAGGCAGCAAATTGTTGATTACAGGGGCTGTAATACAGCCCAGAAAAGACAATGGAGAGTGAAGGCTTGAAACATTGGAAAGGGGTCAGGAAGCGCTTGTACTTCCTGTTATCTTTTCCAATAGAATATTCCTGCAAGTTACTCATCAAAAAAAAAGTCAGCCAGCCATGGTGCCTCACACCTGTAATCCCAGCACTTTTTGAGGCTGAGGCAGGTGGATCACCTGAGGTCAGGAGTTCAAGACCACACTGGCCAACATGGCAAAAAGCCATCTCTATTAAAATTACAAAAAATTGGCCAGGCGTGGTGGTGGGTGCCTGTAATCCCAAATACTCAGGAGGCTGAGGCAGAGAGAACTGCTTAAAACCCAGGAGGCAGAGGTTGCAGTGAATTGAGATTGTGCCGTTGCACTTTAGCCTGGGCGATACAGCAAGACTCTGTCTCAAAAAAATAAAAAGGTGTTGAAAGGGTTTGAAAAGGAAGTGATTAGCCCATGCCAGTGAGGCGGACAAAGAAAACAACTTGATTTTTGGTCATATCAGAAAGGATGGAGGGAAACACTGAAGTACAAGCATGGACACGAGTGCTCTAGCCAAAGGAGAGTTCTGGCTAGGCACTGATTCTTTAACAGCAACAACAAAAACCCACAGATGGAAGTAACAGGGAAGTGGATCAGCCCTAAGCCAAATAAGGATTCCCACCTGGGGCGAAAGCTGACTTCCTAGGATATGAACTGAACACATCACAGTAAAAGCCCAGGAGAGGCTGCTGCCAGTTCCAGCTATTAGTAATTATGAGGGGGACAGGATGACGCCTTCTATGGGCCACGCTTGACAAGAGGGTTTGTTTCAGTTCTCGCCATGAGCGGAATGTCTGCAGTTCCCACATATGTGCCATGCCGTGAAGCCCAAGGCACCTGCTCCTCTCTACGTCCCACACACTTAACAATGCACACAGACTTCACTAGCAAGTGCTGTTTGGTCCCGCACTGCTACACTATGTGACTGCAAGACAACGCCATCCACTCCATGGTTCACTCAGCGCCTTGTCCCAAGGTAGTTGGTGGAGAGCAGGACCACGTTGTGCAGCAAGAGAGACAGCTCAGCTTCTGAAAACACCACAGTGTTAGTGATTTGGCTTGGGAACACTCTGCCTTATAACTGCCTTGTTATATATGGCTTTAGCCTGCAGGCAGGAAGCCAAGTGCAGGGAGGAGTGGTATTAAGAAGCTGTTNATTTTTTTTTTTAGACAGTCTCACTCTATCACCCAGGTTGAAGTGCAGTAGCACAACCTTTGCTCACTGCAATCCACAGCCTGGGTTCAAGCAATTCTCGTGTCTCAACCTCCCAAGTAGCTAGGATTACAGGCATGTGCTGCTGCTCCTGGCTAATTAAAAAATAATTTTTAAAAAGGCCAGGAGCAGTGGTTCACACCTATAATCCCAGCACATTGGGAGGCTGAGATGGGAGGGTCACTTGAGGCCAAGAGTTCGAGACCAGCTTGGTCAATATAGTGAGACCCCATCTCTACTAAAAAATAAATAGGCTGGGTGCAGCAGCTCACACCTGTAGTCTCAGCACTTTGGAAGGCCAAGGTGGGTGGATCACTTGAGGCCAGGAGTTTGAGACCAGCCTGGCCAATATGGTGAAACCCCATCTCTATTAAAAATACAAAAATTAGCTGGGCATGGTGGCATGTGCCTGTAGTCCCAGCTACTCGGAGGCTAAGGCAGAAGAATCACCAGAACCAGGGAGGCGGAGGTTACAGTAAGCTGAGATCATGCCACTGCACTCCAGCCAGGGCAAGGGCAAGAGTGAAACTCCATCTCAAACTCAAATTCAAACTCAAAAAAAAAGCAAGACAAGGAGCCCCTGTAAATCTCCAGCCTGCTGTAGGCTCAGAAGTATACCAAGGGTTAAGGGTTGATGTCAAGCTCTTACCGATTTTACTTCCTCAGCAGTCAGCTGGCC